TCCTGCAAAACTGCAGCATAACTAGAAGGCATCAGTAGGTGTGACCATGGTACAGGATAGCAAACTTGTTAACAGCTTAACTGTTGAAAAGTATATAAACTTAATCTTAAATTCTAAAAAGAGCTACTATGGGGTTATCTTAATGCTGTCAAGTAACTTATAAAAATAGTAATTTGTGTACTGTTTCTAAATATCATCTGGATGTGGCCCTCTCTCCTTTATCGCTAGGCCTTTTCCAATTCACTGTTCTGTCCCACTTCTCCCTCCATCATATTGGTTATGTATGCAGGTAAAAAGAAAAAGAAAGCCACAATAGTCTAGAAATAATTTTAAGTGCAGGATTGCTTATCAGACAATGTGCTATTTGGGGGGACAGGGAATGGACTGCAACCACTGCCCCCAGTCCCCAGACAGAATTCTGTGAGCTCTAGTTCACAATTCCACACCTGTAGACTCCTTCACTTTGCTCACTTGCAACATGCCTAAGTTTCTTCGAGGCTCCATGGATGCAGACTTAGACATGGTAGGCCTTCATTTCCTGCTGCAATGCTTCCTGAGTATGGTAGCTCTACAGGAGGCACCTTCTGTAGAGCCTAAAGGGCAGCAGGACTACCATGTCCAGGAACTGTTGTGGCAAGAAATGAAGGCGTAGCATATCTAAGTCTGGATCCATGGAAAACTAGGCTTGCATCAGGAAAGGAGACTTTGAGCTTGAGCACCGAAAACCCCAAATAGCTCATCCCTATTGCTTTCCATACAATTCCTGTGGCATTGTCAGTGATGGTGACATTTATGCCTTCAGCAATAAGCAGCAGCAGAATCTTGGAGGCTTTTCTGGATGTTCATTTGGAGAACACAGTTGGGATACATTTGCAAGTAGATCAATAGCTACCTAATCCTTTTTCTATTGAAAACAAAAACCGTCAGCTCAACCTTGTCTTTTAAAAGTTAATATGAAACCTCAGCATAAGGCTTGAAGGGTTGATCTTTAGATTGCTTGAAACAAGGGTGGAGTTTGAATAACTGACAGAACAAAACACAAAATAAATCTGTTTAGATTCTTTCTGTGGTACATGTTGAAAACATCACTGTAGGAACTCTGTTTGAATTCTGAGCACACAACAGGACACTCCCGTTTCCACCTGCCTTTTGCCACTCCTGAAAATTGAGGTATGTGGCCTAAGACACGATCTTCGGAAGCAGACAGGAAGCTGGTGTGATGGGTGAGGGAATGGAAGCCTTGAAAGCCAGTCCCAAAATGGGCCTGTTGGGATTGCAACCCGTGATCACTCAATTTGTTAAACAGTAATTTTAAAAAACCTTTTTCTTCTCATAGTAACAGTTGCAGATTATATATCAAGAGCAGAATCTCAAAGCAGACAAAGAAATCTTCCAAGAGAAGCACTGCCCAAAAACAAGAAAGAAATGGTAAGAAAATGGAAGGAAACACAGTGGCATATTTTGTCTGGGTGTCCCGTATCTAGGATAATTGGAAGATGTTGGAAAGGGTAGCTGTTGATTGGCATTAATGCCAAAGGAACATTAAGTATTGTTATGCAAATGGCCCGACCAGGTAGATGCTCAGATCTCTCTGTTGACATAATATGGCAATGCTTCTACATCAGTGACCAAAATCCTGTTACTCATACTAGAGTAAGCCCATTGAATCGGTGGGGATTTGGCGAGTCATCTCCATGAGTAAGTTGCAGTTAGAGTATGCCTGTTTGTATCAGTAGAACTTCCAAAGGAGTTGACATATCAAATAATTGTGATTCAATGGGCTTACTCTAGTGTTATTAGGCCAAGCAGCAGGATTTTGGCCAGTGTTTGGTAACATCAGCAGATTTCACTTCTACCACCGCAGGTGTAAAAATCTTTCCCTGTGCACTGATAACAGATTTTGCCCATGTTACCCCTATATGTCTTCTGTGTGGTGGGAAAGATTTGCATGTCATCATTCTCCATATTGGCAGATTTAGATAGTGACTAATGGTTTGTTTTCTGCAGATATTATCTACCGTGACAGGAAGTCTAGGAATTTCCATGATAATCAGTTACACCATTTCTTCCTACATACTTGATTTATAGAATGTATTGCAGTTACCTTGATTTCAACAGAAATTTTAAGACTGATTTACCTATTTTGGATAAATTGATACGTGCACTGTTGTACTCAGAATATAAATCACAGAATATGTATGTATACTGTAATTTGTTGTAATGAGTGAAGCTGGTATGTGTGTAGACTATTAGGTTATGCTATTAATGAATTACAAATGGTCTTGTTGCTAAATTCTGATATATTTTTTTCTTTATCAGGCAAAAGATGTGATTGAAGAAGTTGGCCTTCCCGAAAAGGCCGTTAATGGTCCTGCAATTGTTCCTGGAACTGAACCTTCAATGCTGCAGCATGGTCCTGAAGAGAGGCCTAGTACTATACAAGAGGATGGAAATAAACAGGAAGAAGAAGCTGTGTTGAATGGTGTTTCATAAACTGAGTTCCTAGTTTACAGTTCTTTTACATTACATTTTACAATAGTGCTTGTATAAGCTTGCCAAAGATAGAATATGGATTGCGAGTCATGATACCGCACTTTTCAGTTCCTCCATTTTGGAAAACAGGGAGGGATGCTGAAGAAACCCAATGTTGAACATACTTTTGACACCTACTGTGTTATATCATCAGATGTGCCTTGAGAATAGTATATGTAACATTTAAATAAAAACAAATTGCTGGCTATAGGAAATGTTATTTTGTTTTCAAAATATGGCAGAGATGTGGGATGGGGGAAATCCCTAACGTAACCTTCTTTATGAAAGCATTAGCTGCTTTTGTTACATTTTTAATAATATGCAACCACTTCTTCACCTGAGGAAAACTAGAAAAATGCAGTCTAAAATATTTTGCACTGAACTGTAATTTCTCCATTAGTTTAGTCTGGAAACTGGTCTGTTTTAATACATGTTTTTTAAATGCTGTATGTAGTGGGGGAAAAACTGCAGACCACTGGAATACATTTGTTAAATTCTCAATCTGCAGGGATACTGGTGACATTGGCAGTGACTGTTCTACATTGAGGCTTTGTTTGATTTATTTATTAAACTGTACAGTATTTAAAAATCAAACATAGCTTTGGTTAAAACACTTAAGCTGAATTAGTCATGTCCATTAAGACATAACCAGAACTACTGAAAAGATCAATTTCCAGAAAGTTTATTCTGTATAAACTACATATGTTAGTCTTTAGAATATTTTTATTTTTGTTTTGGTTGTTTGATGTGCAATATGTTTTTGTATGCTGGTAGAAAAATAAATAAACTTTGATCTTCCACTGGTTGATCCTTAAGTACTTGACCCAGTTATAAACTTATTACAATAATCTATACTCAGTGTTCTGTACAGGCTCCTATGGATCAAATTAAATGAGAACAAATCCAGTTAGATTGCTTTTATTTTGCCTCTTAACCATCTCAATGACTGAGAGGGATTCTTTCCCCATATCATTTTCCTGATCTTACTAGCTTCCATGTATGTTTATTTCATGGGGAAATGAAAAATTTCTTAAGCTTGTTCCCTACTTAGCTTGAAATGTATTTTCTTTTAAAAACCTGAAAAAATCCAGTTGCAGCTTCTTGTCCTGTTGTTTGGTTTGATCCTGTTAGGTCTTAAGAGATTAAATTATAATGGACTTTCTTAAATTGTATACACTTCGTTAGTTCATTTTGAGAAAACTGTTTTTACCCAGTAAACAAAGTACTACAAGAAGGATCGGAATCTCATTTCTTCGGCGACTGAAAATGTTACTGCTGTTGCTAAGCTAGACTAAATGAATTTGAAATTGCTGTACCGCCTTATCTCTGCTCTTGTTCTCCCTTGTATGAATGGCAAGAGCATCTGACAGGTAATCTCAGAATGTTGTAGGGTTCTAGTAATTTTTTAGCAGAAGTGATTAGTTTTCCAGATGAAACACCTCCCTCCTCATTCAAGTTTCTGTAGCTTGAGCGATAACCACTACTGTGAAAAATCAGGAACTCCCATGTTCTAATCACTGTGCATGCTTGGCTGAGGCTGCAGGTGACTTACTCCCTCTCCAGCAGGAGGCATGCAGCCTCTAGTAACCATAGTGGAAAGCCTCCCTCTTACCACTGACCAACTTACCTTTGTCCGAGGCCATTGGATAAGGAGTAGCTATTGAGCTTTGCATCAAGAATGTAAATCCTATGTTTTGATGGTTTCCTTTTCCCTATCAAAAGTGTGGTACAGTGGCAGACTAGCATTCAGGAGGCCTGGGCTCAGTCTCCACTTGGCCATGGAAACTCACCAGAGGTGACACTGTTAAAAACACTCATTAAATATCTCGCGTACCTTGAAAATCTTATTAGGATCGCTATAGTATCATCAAAGCTACCAACATGAATATGACCCAACTCTGGGAGGCAATGGAAGACAGGAGGGCCTGGCGTGCTCTGGTCCATGGGGTCACGAAGAGTCAGACACGACAACGACTAAACAACATAGGTCAGATGCAATTTGATGGCACATAATAGCAACAGCTCCCTCAATCCTTTTTTCTTCTGTCTTCCAAACTGCAAGTTTACATGGTTGCTAAACTTACAGGGAAGTATGTCCTATTTTATTTCTTCGTTTTCTTTGTAATAATTCTTAAGTTAAATATGAGTAAAATATACCTTAAAGAAAAGCACACTAAAACAATCATTAAATATCTTCTACTGTGAAAGCTAAAAAACTACAGTTCTCTTCAAATCAGGTAAGTCACTTGCTTGATTACCACTAGGGAACTTTTTGCTGTTTAAAAATTAATCCATGCAGTCTTGTAACAGATTCAACTCGTGATATGCATGAAAATAACATTTTAGAGAAGGAAAACCAGACTTAATTATGAGAAGTTTGTATGTATATACAAAATACTTATTTGTATTTCTTCATGGAACCCGAGTGAATACAGTGTAATAGATACCGGACTTGGATTTAAAGAGAATGCTTGAAAGGTAACATTTATTATTTCACATTTTTTTATTACAGCTGCTTTATTCCTGATCCTTTCTCTTTGGTATTTGTCAAAGTGGTGTTTAAAAGTTCAGCTCATGAGAGCACCAGGTATTCAGTTGTAAAGGAGTGCTTTTGTTGATGTAGAAAATGCACACTCACTTGACACCCAGCACACTTGATTGCTATAAGAGAATGCTAGAGATTGCCAACTCATTCTTCAACCTTGAGGCTAGTTTAAAGGGATGATGGGAAAGTAAATACTTTATCCAAAGCAGATATTTTGTAACACTGAACTAAAGTTCATTCAGGTGAAATACTAAAAATTTTATTGTTCAGAAACAATGAACATTTTAGAAAAGCTGTGTGTCGTTTGTGTTGCAGTGCGTTAGATCGATGTTCCATATTAAGACACGTTATGCAACCTTTAGATCGATGTTCCATATTAAGACACGTTATGCAACCTTTTCCTCTTTACCTGGTAAAAAATATTCAACACACCACGTGATATCAAACAGATTTTTAAAACCTAGTCATAGATATTGGCATTACTTGCCACTTCTGAGATCCTAAATTATAGCAGCATGAGCTTCAGACACTAGCATCTGACTAATTGAACAGGCCCAATATTTTTGGAAGTCTGTAAATGCCCAGGCCCCACCATCATTATTCTTTTCCCCACTGTATCATTCCTGATGATAAGCAAAGGAGACAGACGACCTACAGTGGAACATGAAGTTCCTCCATGGCCCATATCATAGCTTCATCTTTTGTCAATGTCTTTGGGTCCCCACCACCAGGAGATTACTGATCAGCGGTTGTGTTTTCATTTTGCTTGACCTTCCAGCAAGTCTTTCGCTTCATTTATTTTGGCTGCAATGTAGGGTGACCCACCTAGTAAAGAAGAAAATAATGTCATATTGTATACATACAGTTCTGTGTCATTCTTTTGACATCTGTGCCATACACCTTGGTCAAACAACTATGAAAATAAAATATACTTTAGACTGTTAGATGCAGGAATAACATTCCAAATTATAAAACATTTTACTCTATTCTGTCAGAGAATGTTATTTAAGAAAGACCCTATGGTGAATGTTCTTGATAATGTAACAATATTACTGAAAATAAAAGGTGGACCTTTGGAAATATCTGAAAATGTGACATTTTCCCTTCAACCCTGCACCTGTAAAAAACCTTCAAAGAAAAAAGGATGATGACTAAGGCACAGAAATCAAACCTAGTCACACCTGTTTCTAAAGGCTGACCTGGCCCCCGCTGCGTAATTCTAGATCAAAGAAAATATCAATACATTTGTTTTTAAAAAAACTATTCTTCTGAAATTATTTACCTTTATCAGGGTGATTCAAAAGCATGATTCTTCTATGAGCTTCTCTGATTTTTCCTTTATTAGCTGTAGGACTAAGTTTTAAAAAATAAATCAATTCCATCTTAAAAAAACTATATGGAACACAAGGAACTTGGAGATAGTTCTATCTGTCAGGACTTTGCTTTCTTTATGGATGAAAAGAAAATATTCCTCTTCCCCTTGTCACCTTAAACTAATGTCAGACATCAAAACACAGCCACCAAAGGGGAAATTATTCAGCATCTGCCAACAATAACCAAGAGGTATTTGAGAGATACACAATACTACTGAAAAACTCACAGAAACACAGAAATAGCCTATTGTAACTAATTATGCTACTACAATATGTATAGATTGACAGAAGCATTTGTTATCTTCTGCTGGCCTCATGGTTGATCCTTGCTCATACAGTAAATTGCCAGTTCTTCACAAATATCTTCACCTCTCCTCCACCTGTCTGCCTGAGAGTTTGATAGAGGGCAGTGTTAAAAAAAATCAAACTCATGGGGGGGGGAGCTGATTTACTGCTCAGTTTTGACTCCACCTGTCTTCAACAATACTGCTATAATACTTCTGGCAGTTGTTGTCTGCTCTGAGTTATAACCCACTCATTTTAGAGACAGCACTACAGAAAAAGCACATTTAATCTACTAAAGCTATAAAGTTACACAGATCTGTTCACAGATTCTGTTCACTATACGATACCTACATTTAATACACCAACCATAGTAATACAGAAAGAAAGTCTCTATGAAGTGTGTGCCCCCTCAATCTTTGAAAAACAGGCTGTTACTTAGGATTTTTTTTTTACCTTACTCCTAATATTAAAGCAGCTTCCCGCCTGGTCATTTTGGATTCAAATCCTCCTCTGTAATAGCCACTAAAGGTCTGAAATAAGACACACAGGTATTTAAATAAAATCATTCAATGAAATCTGCAGGGATAAACAAAATAATCAGAAACCATACTGGAGCTGGGTAGACTGAAAAGTGACTACAATTTCTTCTCCTTAAATGGAGTGAGAAACGCTATAGAGTATGGGCTCAAGAAACCTAGGTTCAGACCATGAAATTCACTGGGTGACCATGGCAGTCTCAGCCAAATCTACCTCACAGGGTTATTGTAGGTATAAGAAGAGCTACGTACACCACCTTGAGCTCAAATATAAATGAAACAATGCCTTTCCCCATACCTCAGTCTAGGCAACACAGCTCTTCCTTCCAGGTCCAAGGACAAAACATCTCTAGAAAGCCAAGCAACCAAGTGGGTGCATCTCATTTGCGTATCTTAAAACTGCTAAGAGTGAAGTTTGTGATAAATAAATTGAGTCCAGCTACTACACTTGATCTTAGCGAGAAGGCCAAGAAGCTAAATTCATTGAACGAGTCATGGAAAGATGGAACTTACTACCTGCTTCACAAGTTCTTCAAGTTAATTTCACAACTTGATACTTATTTGAGAATATTTATTTATTTATTTGATTTATACCCCACCCATCTAGACTGAAGTCTACTCTAGGCGGGGTATGAATTATTTATTATTTATTGCTTAATGCTTTTCTGCTTGTTTATGTTTTATATTAGTTTTGAATTTAATTTAATTAACCCTTTTTGAATATAATACTTATTTAGTTCCTTTTAAAATATTTGTTTACTTACTGTTTAAAACTTTTAAACCTTGCCTTTTAACTACTGTAAGCCACCTTGGGCCCTTTTAAGGAGAAAGGCAGGGTAAATAAATAATAAATGAGAAAGGCAGGGTAAATACATTTTAAATAAATAATAAAGAGAAATTGGGTCCAGGCTACCTGAAGGACGGTATCTTCTCTTAAATGCCTTCTTGGCACTTAAGATCATCGGATGAGGCCATCCTCTTGGACCCATTGCCAGCGCAGGCACGGCTTCTCCCAGGTTATGGACTGCTCCCTTCGGGAGGTCGGGCTAACACCCCCAACCCCTCGCCCCTTATCCTTCCACTGACAGCTGAAGACCCACCTTTTCAGGCAGGCTTTTAACAATCATGACTTGAGTCCCTGAATGTCATTTTTAGTTAAGATAGTTTTTAACATTTTACCTGTGTTTAATGATTCAATGTTTATTTAATTATTTAATAAATTCAATAATTTATTCAATTATTCAGTTAGGTTCTTTGGTTTAATTGTCTTTAATGTATACCTCCTTCTGTAATTCTATGTTTTTTAACATTATGATCCACCTTGAGTCCTTTTATTGGGTGACAGGTGGCCTATGAAGAAGACAAATAAGTAAATAAAATAAATGTTGTTGAAAAATAAATGTTCACAGTCCTACAGACTGACACATAATGGGAAAAGGCAGGGAAACTTAACAAAAAGAACCCTTACTATTGGCACAAGAAAACTCAGTAAAATACTCACAGTTTTTGGCAAAGACTGCAACGCCTGCTTTACTTGTGGTTCCATCTGCTTTATTGCTTTCAGCATATAACGACCTCAAAGAAAAATGGAGCAATTTGGATTCAGGTACTTAAGCAAGAGCTGCAGAGTCATCTGGTGCAGCTGGCCAGCACTGCATGCTCAGGAGAGAATAAATGACATGCAGTGCTTCCAGATTGATGCAACAGGCTAAAGAGGGAGCAGTGATAATACTGTCTACAGACAGCCTGCTTTTTTTGCTTCCCCTTCTATGCATTTTCTTAGAAAGGTTGTAGCGTTGCTGATGATATATGAGGAACAGATCTGAATGCAATTCTTACAGTCCTAGAGCAGAGATGCCTGCCTACCTCTGTGCAGTACTGAGAAAAGATGGGGACTACTCAAAATTCAGGAACTCAATGCACACATCTGAAAAGTCTAATATGAATCAATCAAACCACAATGCATAGCAATTGTTTTACATTTTGACCATGTATATTTTGTCCTTAGAACTTTCTGATCACTAATATCTAGTGTAAGCTGTGAGCAGCTATTAAATATGAAGAGTTCCCAAGGTTTTTTCCCCCCTACTGCCTTAAAGGCCCATGAATGCACTGAGCTGAGAGAAACCAGAGGAGGCCCAAGTTCAAACAGTTTTGAGACATACTGATTTAGGGTTACCAGTTTAAATTTTGTTTGTCTTGAATTTCTAAATAAAAACCAAAGCCACTTCAAGAATGAGATGGAAATAGCGAGGTAAATTGAAAAAAAGTTAAATACTGAAACTCTGCCAATAACGTGATTCCAATCTATATGAATTTGCTTGTTTTGTCATGTTTGTTTTTAAGTTTTTTTTAAAAAAATCTATTTGTTTTGCTTTTAGTACTGTGTTTGAAAATTAAGATATCATTAAAAAAGACTTTTAATCCAAACTGACTTTTTCTAAATATGGGCATGTTTTAATAATGATTTTTATTGTTACATTGTTTTAATTTGAGTGATCTTGGGTCTGTGACCATATAATAAAGAATGAAATGATATTTTTATTAGAAAAGAATGAGGCAGGAAATGAAACAAATAATTTAGTACAGTGGTGCCTTGCTTAACGATGACCTCATTAAATGACGAATCCGCTTTACGATGGGTTTTTTGCAACTGCAAAACGATGTTCCTATGGGGAAAATTCATTTCACAACGATCGGGTCCCTGCTTCGGGAACTGATTCTTCGCATTACGATGATTTCCAAACAGCTGATCGGTGGGTCACAAAATGGCTCCCCACTGTTTTTAGGATGGATTCCTTGCTATACAGGCACCGGAAAATGGCCACTCTATGGAGGATCTTCACTGCACGATGAGGTATTTCGCCCATTGGAACACATTGAATGGTTTTCAATGCGTTTCAATAGGTTTTTTAATTTTGCTTGAAGACGATTTCGCTTAACAGCTATTTGAATGGAACGGACTATCGTCGTCAAGCGAGGCACCACTGTAGTTGAAATTTTTGTGCAAAAAAGTGAATAGCTACCAAAATGGCATTAAAATATAAGGATTTGGCACTGCCTTTTTACTCATCCAGATTAGCCCTTGAAAACTAGCAGGTTCTCTTTAGTTTATATTATAATAATGCTATTCAGAGCACTCAAAAATAAAACATACACTCCAAATACAAACCTGCATATCCCGCAGCAGCTATTGTCAAACCAACTGCTATCATAGTACTAGCCTAAAAAGGGGGAGGTGAAAGAAAAGAAACAAACAACACCACAAAATGAAAAAGTAGTAATTTTAGTACAGTAAGTACAGATAATACTGGGTGGTTTGAGATATGACATCAGTCCCAAGTACCATAAAATGGATGGGATGCAGATTGCTCACACAATACAGAGCACCTTAATTGACAGCTTTTAGCCCAGTCTCTTGCATTTGAAAACCACACACAAACACACTGTCAACAGTCCTAGAATTTAGGTTGGAAAAGAAAATGTGCACCACAGATTGGTCCAATTACTGAAAGATGAAGGCACTTTTATTTTCAAGTTTACAAGGACAGAAAACATCTGTAACCATTCAAATTTTAGATCTTTCTCCATACTGACAGGTGAATCCCACATAAGGCATAAGTGTCCTGATGTTAGAAAGATGCCTGCTCACAAAAAAAGGATTACCCCTTGCTGGCCTCCCTTGCTAAAGCCCTCATCTGTGTCAAAGTGTCCTTCAAACATCTGGGGGCAAACTGAGGATGCAGAAATTGTTCCTCCAGCAGTATCTGGTCTACTGACTGATATAATCTGCAAGACACAATCCCACCAATTTATCTAATTTGTACAGGAATACATACAAAATCACAAAGAAGGGAAAACTCTGCTCAGAATTCCCTTTAACACTCTAGATATTATTATATTCCAATACTTAATTTCACTTCAATCTACTGTCTAAACACAATTGAGTACCGGACATCAGGTTTATTATGTGACCATAAACAAATCTCTCTTAATACTTCTGTTTCCTAAACATAAATGTGAATTATGGTAAACTATTTTTTAGGATTACCTCAAATTATTGAAAAAAATAGTTATTACAGGGGAAGATTCTCCCTCCCAGTAAAAAACAAAATTCCAACAAAAACTTAATTTAGTTCATCTTTAGATTTTCAATATGTACTAGAATAACAGCTGGATAGCTCATTGATTTAGTATCTGGCTGTGGAGCCAAAGGTTGGGAGTTTGGCTCCCCACTTAGCCTCCTGGAAGGACAGCTAGCCTGTAAGGCCCTGGGCAAGCTAAACATTTCCAGGGCACCCCCAGAAGAAGGGAATGGCAAGCCACTTCTGTATAATCTCTACCTAGAAAACCCTTGAAAGGGTTGATATAAATCAGAACTGACTTGATGGCATGCTATAACAATAATAATGATGTGACATAAAATTGATACCAATTTATGGTGGTCATTTTCAGTGTTTTCTGGGCATAGACGACTCAGAAGTGGATTTCTACGCATTTCTCATTATTTCAACTCAGTATGTATGACACGTGTTTTGATAAATTATTCTGTCTTTTGTTGATGGTTAGAGGTAGACACAGGATATCTGTATTCATATCCCTGGGGATATGAATATGAATATATTGGCACCACAGGTGCCTGGGAAAACTGGACCCTTCCCCCCCCCCCAACCATCAGGTCCACTTACTAATCGCCAAGCAGCATGCACAGCCAGCGTTGTTCTCATTGTGCCAATCTGGTAAGCAGCCTGGCCAGCACTTCCCTGCCTCCTGGCACAGCTGACCACTTCAGAAAGGCGACAGGATGCCAAGTCTCCCTGCTCAGTTGTGGAGCGGTTCGTTGTGCAAGGAGGCGGGGAAGCATCAGTGAGGCTGCTTCCTGGATTGGTGTGACAAGAATAATGCCGCCCTCATGCGCCATAAGCAGTAAGTGGGCCTGTCAGCTCGGGGGGGAGGGGGGAGACCCCAGGGATATGAATACAAATGCCCTATATATAGTCAGATGTAATTATACTATACATTCAAACAGTACCATTTTGTAGATGATGCACATGAAATCAAAAACTACAAGGTTAGGACAGTACGTTTTGTCAGATTAAGACATATGTGACTGAATGTTTAGATACACAACAAGTGCCTTTCCAGCTCAGACAAAATCTAATCTCTCTCTATTTACAGTTGTGACCAAACCAATGTTTGCAGCTCACAGAAAAAATTCTTGTCAAAAGCCAACCTAGTCTTTATGAAATTCTTTTAAATATGTGTTTTTAGTACAGAAATGACTTATAGCAACCCCAATACAGTTTTCAAGGTAAGTGAGGTATCCAAGGAGTGGTTTACCAGTCCTACCCCACCTCCCAATGTGTTTCCATGGAAGAACTGGGGAATCTAACCAAGGTATCCTGAGTCCTAGTTCATTACTCTTGTCCACTACATCACACTGGAAACCGGTTTTAGTATAATTAGGTTGAAAATTACATGGCTATCCCTTTGTCCTTCTTTCAACCATCTCAAAATCTGGCACCAAAACAGAAAATACTTGTGAATAAAAAGATTCCCTTTACCAAGTATGACTAAATGATCAATTAAAAATCAGAGATTATACTTTTATTAGGCCCACCCTAAGGTTACAATCTTTAGAGATCTCCAGATTCCTTCATCAAGCTACAAGTATTAAAAAGCAGGTAAAAGAGAACAGCATAAAAAGTGAGGGAGGAAAGTTAAAATCATAGTCTGCATAATTGAAGTCTTAAAATTAAATAGGGGAAGGAATTACAAACATTTAAACTGAGTTATACTAACTGATATTATAGTTTCAAGTGGAACTTCCACGAAAACTTCTGGGAACCAGAAAGCAATTAGCAGCTGTTTTTGAAACTATAACATTCTGCTTTTCATCAAAACTGTCTCAATTCTAGAGAGCACTCAGTCGCTTCAAAATAGAGTACTTCCCACATTCTTATTTTAGAGGGTATGTGTTCATGATAGAGATTCTTAAGTCTCGGCTATCAAATGTTGTTTGTCTAGAATCTCTGGAGTCCTTGGCTGTTGACCATGCTGAATGCTTTGGGAACTTTAATGTAGATAGGAAATATTACAAAGATTTGTGTATGTGTGTGGGGGGGTTCAGACTAAAGCTCCAAGCAAATAGGCATATTTGAAAAGATTTGAGGATGAAAAAGATTAGAGGCAGCTGCTAACTTGTGCAGAAAAATCCAGCTCAGGTAGAATAAATCTGGGTGCGGAAAAACTCTCTGAAGTTCTGCTACCTGGAGATGACTACCTAATAAAGTTTTAGACTTTCTGGAAACGTGAACTTTTGAAAGATAGGACCAAGTAAAATAGCTTATGGGTCTGTGTGGTTTCCTAATGACTTCTGGAAACTCTTTTTGACATAAGTCCCATGGGCATTTTTGGCTCCTGCTTGTTCGATTCAATATGAATCAGTTTGTGCAGCCTGAGAATATGGTTTCCCTGGAGATATGACAGCCACTACACATGCTGGATTCTTGTCCATTCTAGCTCATAAAATTGGCAGAGCCAAGGGAAACAGTGACAGTCTCTGCTTTGAAACAGGGTTCCAGCCTACCTAAAAGAAGCAGAGGTGAGACCTCTACTGAAACAGAACCACTGAACCACTGTTCTGGCCAGCTATTGGACATTATACTTGTATTCCTGTACTGAACAGGGGCCTTACTCAATCGCCTTATAGGCCCCATCCAACTTCATGATTCTATGATTATCCAACACTGCATTCTTGGGCAAGGTAGTGGAGTGTGCTTTTGCAATGGAGATCTTCAGGAGTTCTTGGAAGAGACCGATTACTTAGATCCACTTCAATATGATGACTTCTACCCTGATTATGGGACAGAGACAGCTTTGTTCACTTTGCTACAAACTGGACAGGTGGACAATATCCCTGTTGGTTCTGCTGGGCCTCACAGTTTGAAACCAAACCACTGTTAAGACGCTATCTGGGATGGCACTTTTGTATGGTGGTGCCAGTCCTACCTGGAAGGTAAGCTCAGAAGATGGTACCAAGACCACTGGCTTGTAGGGTCTCTCATGGTTCTGTTCTGTCCCCGGCCTAAACTACTTTACATCTATCTATGAAACCGCTTGGAGAAACTGTCTAGAGTATTGAGGTTCAGTACCACCAGTATGCTGATGACAAACCCATTTTGTTCTCTCCCTCCCTTTGAAATCTAAGGGAAGTGTCTCAATTCTAAATCATAATTTAGTGATAGCAACAAGATGAATAAGGGCAAACATAGTGAAGCTTAATTCAGACAAGAAAGAGGTGCTCCTGGTCAACTGAAAGACAGATCAGAGACAAGGATTACCCCAGTGACAGATGGGATTAGCCACTTGAGAACTGGTGGTCACAGTTTGTGTGTCCTCTTAAATGTAATAATGCTCTGACTTCAGCTACACCCATTCCTTTAAATAGCAGACCTACCTATGGTGGCACATGCCTTAATTACATCCCAGTGGAGTACTATAGCATGCTTTGTTTGGGGCTGGTTTGGAAAGCAATTGGAAATTTCAGAAAGTCCAAGATGCTGTGACCAGAGTTGATTACAGGGAGGGAAAAAATGTCCTTTTAATAACCATTTCATTGGCTATTGTTGGTCTGTTCCTGCCTGGGCACCATTTAAAGTGCATGTTTGACGTATAAAACCACAAGTGGCTTCAATCCGGGCATTCTGAAGGACAGCATCTTCCTACATAAACCTACTCAGCTTGGTGGAGCCTCTTTTCATTCTTTCCTGCAATCCTCCTAGGTGTGCCTGGTAGGGATGTAAAACGAGCTTTTTGCCTGGCTGCTCCTAGGCTGTAGAACTCCGTTCCTTGGGTGACAATCCCGGCTATCATTAGGCTAGCAGGCAATGACCTTTTTCTTGGCAGGATTTTTGGAAACTGTACAGCCAGCTCAGGGAGGGGCTTATAATGGACCACGCTGCACTTTTTTAGGACACATAGTGGCAGTTGCTAAAACATTCTTCTCACTAAGGTTGCAGCGGTTACACACACCTGGCGAGTAAATCCCACTGAACGGAGTGGGATTTAGTTGTAAACAAACACGCCGAGTAACCGTTGGCCTAAATGATCAAGGTGCAAAGGCCGTAACACATAACGAGTTTTACTTCGGTGTAAGGTTGTGAGGCTGGCACGGTGCCTGTTCGCTAGTCTCGCCTCACAACCTTACACCAAAGTAAACCTCATTTGCACCTAGATCATTTAGGCCGACGATTACTAGGCGTGTTTGTTTACAACTAAATCCCACTTCGTTCAGTGGGATTTACTCGCCAGGTGTGTGTAACCGCTGCAACTTTAGTGAGAAGAATCTGTTTTAACAGCTGCCACTATGTTTTCCAATGTATTTACACTATTTATTGCCTGCTTTTCTCTTAATACAGGGACCTAAAAGTGGCTTAAGGAATGTGTAAACATAGATATGGCTAAACATATAATAATAATAAAAAAGCTTAAACATGTGGTCATGTTTTTAAAACGTGAGTTGTATAATATATCTCACTCTGCTGATTTTTACCTACAGTGTCCCAAAAATTATATACATATACAGCTTATGGAAATGACTCCGTGGAGAGAAAGAGGTCCGAAGGCGTGAAATGCAAGAGGGTCGCGATCCCCTTCTCCTCGACGAGACACAAAAAGCTTCTTTCAAGAGCAAACGGGGGACCGCAAAGGGAACGGGGCGACCTTTCTCTCCTTACCACCCCGACCCATATTCTGCCGTGCTCTGAACAAAAAAAGGACAGAGAGAGAAGAAGAAGAAAGGAAGGAAGGCCAAGGGCAGCCGCTTCTCATCTCCACTCACCATGGCTGCTGCGGGCCTCCGCCGAGGCGGGAAGGGCGGAGGGCTTGCGGGATGGCGGACGGTCAAGGCGCTCCGGACCGGGGCTCGCCTCGGCGCCCACCCGGTTTCCCCCACTCGCCCTTCCCGCTCCTCAGGAACCCTGCCATAAAGCAGAGATAGGCCGCGCGGCTGTCGTAAAACAGGCAGGCCTTTCCCTCCCACCGGGGAGGCGGGGGTTAGAATTGGCGCGGTCGCGCGCGAGCCTTGAAAACGAGTTCCCTTCAGCGTGAGGGGAGCCTTTTTTTTTTTTTACTTCAAAAAAACACAAACCATAAGGTGGGAGCTGTTAATACGGCCGGTTTCAAGTTCTGTGTTACCTTCGGGTCTCTGATAAGACAGGCAAACGGATCTGAGTGTTTTTCGTTGTATTTATTTATTTAAAATATTTCTACCCAGCCTTTCTCCTTGAAAAGGACCTCAGGCGGCTTACAAACAATGAAAGATAATATTTGAAGCTGAAAACAAAAGAGTATGCAATAGTGGTCAACATCCTTAAAAATACATTATTTAACACTAAGAACAATGAATAAAAAAGCCTCTTACATCATTAATAGGCAGCAGCTACCAAGGCAAAAGATCAGTAAGTATAGAAAAAAAAGTTAAAAATGCCACTCTTGAGAAATGGAAAACACAAAAATGGAAGACACAAGTTGTACTAAAAATCCAGTCAAAGGACTAATGCATAACAGTGTACTGTATCTAAAAATCACACACAGGTAGATGGTTTACTGAGGGAAGGCTTGCCTGAAGAGAAAGGTCTTTGCCTGCTTGTGGAAGGAGAGCAAAGAGGGGGCCAGTCAGGCCTCCAGTGGGAGGGAGTTCCAAAGTCTGGGAGCAGGCATAGAAAAGGCTTTGTCCTGTGCCCCCCCCCCCTATCAGATGTTATGAAGGTGGCGGCACTTTCACAACTGACTCGTGTCTATACAGTGTAGGGGACATATTTAATGTTGTGTAATATCTTTCCTTATAACGCTCCATGGCCGTTTTCCTTTTGCTTTCTTTCTGCCCAGCTCTGGGGTAGTGAAAGGGTTTAAAGGTCTTTCCAGATTTCATATCTGTTTGTTTGCTTGTTTTAACTTATATACCGCCCCACTTAGTGAGATCACTGTTCAGGGCGATTCATATAATATGAAGCAAGCTTAAAAAAATAATCAGAAGTAAGATACCATCATCACGCCTAATAAATCAAAATCAACTAAAAAGGGTGAACACCTGATGATATCTGAAATTAAAAACAGACTCAAATAAAATGACAATACTGTGTAAATGAATAAACCAACCAAAGTGAGTAGACACAGCATTAATAAAACTACCAAGGCACAGGATAGTATGACAAATGTACTGTAATAAGAAAAAGCAAAATCTAGGTCATGAGATAAATTAAGATAGAATGTTGCCAAAGGCTACATAGGGGAATACCGTAGTGCAAATAATCTTCACCTTGGTCTCCAGCAACGTATTCTTCCGGTTAAGGACTTTTTCTAGTTTCTATCAGTCTTCATTTGGAATGATGATTGAACCAAAATACAGAAAACTTTTAACAATTGGTTTCTTCATTGTCACATTAACGTTATATAGTTCTTCTGTAGTTATAATTTTTATACTTTTCCACTTTCTTCCACCCTTATTAGGAGTGATTTCAAGTCATTGCTGCTTTCTGGCAGTAATATAGTAGAACTGCATTTTTTAGATTATAGATATTTCTCCCACCAATTTTCACCCCTCCTTCATTTGAATCTGATCCAGCATTCCTTATGATGTTTCTGTATATAGATCGCACAGACAGGGAGATTAAATCCACTGTTGTCTAACACCTGTACTTATGGTGAACCATTCTGTTTCTACATGTTCTGTTCTAACAATAGCTTCTGGTACAGAGTATGGGTCACACATTGGGATAATCAAGTGTTGAGGTGCACTATTTATTTTAGAAATTTCCATAGATTCTCATGAAGAAAACACAGCCAAAGTCTTTGTTTTAAAGTACAGACCGATTTTCTTCTGAAATTCAGTGGTATGCTCTAGTAACCACCATATATTTGCAACATTGTCTTCATTGTCTCTCCTTTACCTGAATCCAACTGGAACATCAGGAATGGAGAACGGAGCATTCTGTACTCTCCCAATATGCTTCCCCAACCCTGCAACTATTGACACTATATGATTTTTGGACAAGAGTGTGTAACTCTGGCAGGCCTTGGTAGTCACTTTTGCCCTTCCCAAAACGTATTGCCTTCACGGCTGCATTTGGTACAGGAGCAGTGGCAACAACCCATATTTAAAACAAAGTGCATAGTGATCTAAAAGTTCGTTCCAAAGGAGAATCATGTTTCCAGGAAATGTCCGAGAGAGTGATTATCCTTTAAATCAATGTGTGTGCAGTTACATGCATTAAATAACAACAACAACAACAAAACAAATAAGTGTGCTTATTTTTTCATTGCTGCATCACATCACTAAATTTTGGTGGGAGTTGTAGTATGAGGCAGTCAATGGAGGTCAGAAAAAAAGAGTAGATATTCCCAAATAAATAAATTCCCTCAACTACTCCCAAGTCTTTTTTAAAACTCTAGATTAAGTTTCTGGATACATACAGTCAGCTTGACTTTCTAGTCATGTACAAATTTTGTTTTGTCACAATGTGGCCAAAGTGAAAACTGTTCATGGAACATGGAGACATCTAGGAGTTCAATGTGATTGTGCATTGGGAGCAGTGTATTCTCCCTTTCCCTCCCTGCAAAGGGTAGCAACAAATTCAGAGGTCCTTGACTTTGTTGTTCAGTGTGAACCTTATTTATTTATTTATTTATTTATTTATTTATTTATTTATTTATACCCCACCTTTCTCCTTGAAAAGGACTCAAGGCGACTTACAACATTGAAAGACAATATCTGAAGTTGAAAACAATGAGCATGCAATGGTGGTGACCATAATTAAAAGATAATATTTAAAGTTAAAAACAATGAGTAAAGAGGCATCTTACATCATTAAAAGGCAATATTAAAATTAAGAACAATAAGCATACATTTTTAAATACCACTCTGAGAAACTGAAAATACAAAAAAGGAAAACAGAAACAGTACTAAATATCCAGTCAAAGCAGTAATGTATGACAATCTGACTACCTAGATGCACAAATGAGTCCTCCACAACTCAGTGTTCAATCACATCTGCAACATCTTCACCACACAATCCAATGCGAAATGTGAACTTTATTGTTTCCAAGCAGGCAAAGGCATGAGATCCTTAGGAGACACCTTTACGGTGCAGTGGGACGCTGTGCTACCTTTTCCCACCCATCCCACTGATTCAACGAACAATAATCAAAATTCAACAGTTGAGAGCAGATGGCATCCTAGTGGCACCATGGTGGCCTTGGCGACCATGGTTCACCACCCTCAAGTGCATCACAGTTGAGTACCTGACATTGCCTCCCCAACTAACTCTCCTGACTCAGGACGGAGGCAATAACTGTCACCCCGATGCCGAGTCTCTGCATCTCACATTGTGGAGGATTCTCCCATCATAAAAGAAGTAGTCGACAGCGCCAGAAAACTATCAACCAAATTGTTATATTCCCATAAATGGTCTGCCTTTACCAGATTTGCTGTGCTCAGAGGCTTTGTTATAGTTCCTGTTTCTCTGAGGACTCTCCTTACCTTCTTGCTCCATTTGTTTGATTTGGTTTTGGCACATTCCACACTCAAGGTTTATATTTCAGCCATCGTATCTTATCAACCGGTGGGTTCAGAAGCTTCTCATTTGTTTTCTTACCCTATTGTTAAGAGATTCCTTTGAGGTCTACAGAATATTCGTCCTCCTGTTCAACCTCCAACTCCTCAATGGTCTCTTCAGATTGTCCTGAAGGTCCTCCATTTGAGCCAATGGCTACTTCTTCTTTGGAATTGCTGTCCTTAAAGACTTTGTTCTTGGTGGCTGTCACGTCTGCACAAAGGGCAAGTGAACTAGCTACACTATGGGCTGATGAGCCTTATATTCAGTTCTACACAGAGAAAGTTGTTCTCTATCCTGATGTTTCATTCTTTCCTAAAGTGATTTCAGAGTTTCATGTTAATCAACCTTTAATTCTCCCAACGTTGTTTCCTAACCCTTCATCAGGTGTTGAGTGCATGCTCCACTCCCTCGATGTTCATTGGGCTCTAGCCTTTTATGTTTTAAGATCTAAAGACTATGTTTCAAGATCTAAATCTCCAAGACTATTCATCTGCTTTCATGGTCCTTGAAAAAGGACATCCAGCTTCTTCCCAATCCATTTCCAGATGGTTGGTTTCTGCCATTGCTTTAGCCTATGACCTGGTTGGCAAGACTCCACCAGAGGTGATCAAGGCGCATTCCACAAGAGCCATGGCTACTTCCACTGCATGGCTGCATGGCATAGAACTCTCTGACATCTGTAAATCAGCGACTTGGTCCACACCACTGACCTTTGCTACGCATTACAGACTGGATGTCAGAGCAAAGAAAGAAGGAAGTTTCGGAAGAGCTGTTCTGACTTCAGTTTTGCCATGACAGCTCTCCTTCCAGTAAGTGAGCTTGCTAGTCACCCATTCGTGTGCATTCACAGAGACCACGAAGAAGAAAGAGAGGTTACTTACCTGCAACCGTTGCTCTTCTAGTGGTACTCCGTGAATCCACACATCCCCCCTACCTCCCTGCTATCTGTCACAACATCTTTTGGCATTTAATTTTCAGAGCCATTGCAGTGGCGGATATTTGGAACTGAGGTACCGGTAGGTGGAGCATGCATGATACAGGGAAACGTTGTGGAGGGGCCCTCCCCAAGGTTGCTAAGCTGTTATCTGATTCTGTAGATGCAGAGCATACTCTCCTGGATATGATTCAGCTACATCTGAGGGGAGGAGTGGCTGCCCATTCTTCCTCTTTCGTATAGAGATAGAGAGCTAACTTCAAAGCCTTTCTTTTGCCAATCCTAACTGGTATTATGTAACAATTATCCTATCTGTATACAGTACTATCAACAATCTGTAAGGTCAATAAAAGGGAGCCCTCCTGGGGGCATTACCAAGGTGGACAGGCAGGAGGACTCCGCTGGTGGACATCTCTGTGTATGACTGACTTCTTTGCTCTCTCTCTAAAACTAATTGCTTTCTT